CATGTCATGTTCTCTCTACTAGGGTCTCTGCAGCAGTACCATGGAATCCTCAGGCTAGAGCTACGTGGATGATGGAAAGAAGCCATCCAAAGCTAAAGTGATACAGTAGAACAAATAACTCCCTAGACAGAAAGCTACACCTATGCAAGAAGCATGTAGCTGTGATCAATTGAGCACAGTTGGCACATTGTTTGTTGGTATGAGATTATTGGCTACTACATTTGTGTAATTTACAGTGTAGGCAGTCCACTGTCCCATCTGTTCAATTGATCATTACTCATATTAATTCATTTCTATTGATTCAGTTCATGACAATAGCCCTTGTAGCTCTTGCTTGAAGGGTCACGATAGTACTTTATTAAGCACTGGGCAGGATAAATTATGGCTATGAAGCGGAGAGAACAGAGTTAGGACACCCAAGGGGTGAGCTCCTTGCTGTGGTCCTCTACAATTATAATATACAACAATTATTCTCACCAGCACCCATGCATAACTGAGCAATCAGATTTGGTACAACTAACCCTTTAACCGCAGTGATGGAATCTACAATCACTATTTAGGTGGCAATTCAGGCACAAAAATATGTGAGATGATCTTTGTTGTACAGTGAACCCAAACAATTGTATTCCTCAAGCCCATTTTAGAATCTCCTTCTCCCTGATTTTCAAGATATGGGAGGTGAAAGAATGTGGTTCTAGCAGAAGTGTCATGAGTTCTACCACTGGACAGTGATATCAGCCCTTAGATGATGTTGTTCTAAAGTTGTAGGCCTTTTAATGGGGCAACAGAATGGCAGCAAGCACAAGTGACATTCAACATGTCATCACGATACAGACAGTGAAATGAATGTGGCTGTGACCCACAATCAATATACCACAAATATCCAACTTCAGAAATATTGAACATAAACTATATCCTAATGTAGCAAGTCTAAATAATGGTGCTGCACAAACAATAGTGCCAAAAGTCACCCTAGCCAGCACTAAACCACTCTGTTTGCTGCCCCTCTCTCATTTGTTCTTTCCTGTACAGAAAGGTGCAAGATGAGACATGCATTTCCTGGTACCATCTCCTGCCCATTCTGTATGCTGAGACTTTGGCTTTGGTAATAACATACAGTAATACGGTCTTAAGCAAATCAGAATAAGGCTATTTACTGTGTAAATTTTTATACCATTACCTATATAGGAGTATCATTTTTTTAGGAGAATGTGGAAGAAGGGGGACAAGAGGCAGGAGATAGCACAATATGAAGTGTCTTATGCAGAACCTCCAGAATTCCCATTGGCTACATGGTTAAACATAGCCAATGGCCAAACATTTATGTACAGCCCACTTACCTATATGGACCAAGGTATGTGAACGTCCTTCCATATTATTGAATTCATGTGTTTCCAGTAGTAGGGTACTACTACAGCATAAAAATAGATTTGAAACAATATTGTAACATTGTAGCAACAGTTCTGGGAAGGCGTGTTTTCTGCTCCAGCATGACTGTGCCTCTGTGTGTAAAGCTGGGCTAATAAAGACATGATTTTATGAGTTTGGTGTGGAGAAATTTCAGTGGTCTACATACAGCCCTGACATCAACCCTACTAAACACCTTTGGATGAACTGGAATGCCAAATATGAGCCATGTCTTCAAACTGACTTCACAAATGCTCCTTTGGTTGATTGGTCAAAAATACAACAGATACACTCCAAAATGTTGTGGAAAGCCTTTCCAGAAGAGTGGGGGCTGTTATAGCCACAAAGAGGGGCAACTCTATATAATGCCAATAGTTTTGGAATAGGAAGGCCAACATGCTCATATAGATGTGATGGTCAGGTGTCTACATACCTTTGGCCATATATTGTAATTGGCTGCCAACATGCAAGTTTAACCTCAGATGTGGAAATGAACAGACCGCTTTTGCTGTCCTTCCTAGGTGACATTTGAAAGACCACAATCAGAAAACATTTCTGCCAATACTCAGTTATTATGGCTGGGTAATTGAACCCCATCTAGCCATGTGACTATTAAAAGCATATAACCGGCAACCACATTGAGCAGTTGACCAAACAACATCAGCTGACAAATTATTTTGCACTGAGCACACACCTCACACTAGTAATTGAATGCAACAATACAATTCTACATTTCACTTAGCAAACATAAAAAACTTATAACATGCAGTATGGTGTCTCTGTTGTCTCAGACAGCTGAGGAATATCCATTCCAACTGCGTAAAACTCTGCACACTGGAATTAGGAATAAGGGGTGGTAAGATATATATGTGTAAAAATATCAGCAGTTACCCAACTCATTCCATGTCACAATCAATTTTAGGAGGTCTCTTTACAGTGGTAGGTTGCCCCCTTTCTTTATATAAACCTACAGTGGGAAAATAATTATTTGATCCCCCACAGATTTTGTAAGTTTACCTACTTACAAAGAAATGAAGGGTCTATAATTTTTATCATATGTGTATTTTAAATGATAGAGACACAATATCAACCAAGAATCCAGAAAAAACATGATACAAATGTTGTAAATTGAGCTGCAGTTCAGTGAGTAAAATAAGTATTTGATCCCCTACCAACCAACAAAAATTCTGGCTCCCACAGACTGGCTATGTGCTCATGTGGTACACAGATTAGTCCTGTCAATTTAAGAAGGTGCTCCTAATGACAGCTCATTATGTGTATAAAAGACACCTGTCCACAAAATCTCTTTCTTCCATTAAAAACTCACCATCACCATGGGCAAGACCAATGAGCTGTCAAAGAACGTCAGGTACAAGATTGTAGACCTACACAAGGCTGGAATGGGCTAAAAGACCATCAGCAAGAAGCTTAGTGAGAAGGAGACAACTGTTAGAGCAATTATTCACAAATGGAAGAAATGCAAAAATAATCATCACCAGATTTCACCTCATGGGGTAGGGATGATCATGAGAAAAGTGAGGGATCAGCCCAGAAATACACGGGAGGAGCTTGCAAATGATTTCATGGCAGTTGGGACCCCAGTCACCAAACAAACCATTGGTAACACAATATGCCACCATGGATTGAAATCCTGCAGTGCCTGCAAGGTCCCTCTCCTGAAGAAGGCACATGTAAAGGCCAGTCTGAAGCTTGACAATGAACATCTAAATGATTCAGAGAAGGATTGGGAGAAAGTGCTGTGGTTAGATGAGACCAAAATTGAGCTCTTTGGCATTAACTCAACTCGCCATGTTTGGAGGAAGAAAAATGCTGACTATGACCCTAAGAACACCATCCCTACAGCACAGAGTAGAAAAATTATGCTTTGGGGCTGTTTATCTGCTAAAGGTACAGGCCAAATTTGCCATATTGACCATCCAATGGACGGGGCCATGTATTGTAAAGTCTTGGACGAGAACCTTCTTTCTTCAGCCAGAACACTGAAGATGGTTCATGGATGGGTCTTCCAGCATGACAATGACCCAAAACATACTGCCAAAACAGCAAAGAAGTGGCTCAAGAAGAAGCACATAAAGGCCATGGCGTGGCCTAGCCAGTCTCCAGACCTTAATCCTATAGTAAATTTATGGAGGGGACTGAAACTTTGAGTGGCCAAGCGACAGCCAAGGAGCCTTAAGGATTTAGAGAAGATCTGTAAAGAAGAGTGGCCCAAAATCCCTCCTGAGATGTGTGCAAACCTGATAACCAACTACAAGAAACGTCTTACCTCTGTGCTTGCCAACAAGGGTTTCTTCACCAAGTACTAAGTCATGTTTGCTTGGGGATCAAATACTTATTTTACTCACTGAACTGCAACTCAATTTAAATATTTGTATCATGTGTTTTTTTCTGGATTTCTATTTGATATTCTGTCTCTGTCATTTAAAATACACCTATGATAAAAAATTATAGACCCTTCACTTCTTTGTAAGTGGGCAAACTTACAAAATCTGAAGTGGATCAAATAATTATTTTCCCCACTGCATAGTTTGTTGACCATTTTATAAGAGACTATAGTCTTTGGATCAACACAAGACTGAAAGGCAGTAGCAGCTGTACCCATAAATTCTAAGAGCAGCATGATTGCCTATTGCCTCTTTGGGTAGTGCTAAGCTAAAAAGCTATGTGAGTCACATCACACGTTATGGCTATTGAGAGATACATGTAAGAGAAGTCATCATATATAAACGGAACTTCTCAGTCATATTTACATTTCAGTCTGACAAAAAAAAAAAGTAACGTAAGGAACTAACAATCTTTTAGCTATAGGAATGTTTGATCACTTGCTTGGTACTCTTACAAAGCCAAACAAGCCAGGACAAAAAAAAATATGGACTACAAAGAAACATACACTTGTTCACAAATATTGCACTAGTGGCCTATCCGTGCATATCACACTTACACGAAATTGCTAAGAAAAAATACACACACCTGCATGAGATTGTTGTTTTATGAAATCACAGAACAAACGGTACTAAAGTCCATGTTTACTATAGCTACCCATGCCTACAAACACAATGACAGCAAGTTCTATAAAATTAAAAAAGTCCCAGAATCAAACGATTCCGATAAGCCTGTATTTATAATGAATAGGGCTTCCTAACCATGTCATGCAAATGGTCGTGTTCAGATCACGTGTCCTCATACGCACACACACCCAAATTATGAAACTGGAGTCAGGTATTATTCCCCACAAAACATTAAAAAAAGTCATAATAAACAGTCAGGTTGGACTTGAAAGAGGCACAATTCTGTGTATACTATTAACATCAGCTTGGGATCACAAGGTTAATGGAGATAGAGAAGATAGCATCACAGGAGCAGACAGAAGGAAGAGACGGACTAGACAGAAAAAGGGGACACTGCATAGAAAAACACAGTCCAGGTCAGCACTGAAACATGGCAAGAACTGCACAAAATTTAGGATTTTTTTTTGTTTGGCTAGACTCCCTCTTCATACACCCCTCACACAGCCTGGGCTTGCTTTGGTCCTACTGCAACGCCATTACAGTCGAGAATGTACTGCAAACAACCTTGAGGTGGAGGTCGTTGGGCTGGAATCTTGCTCAGATCAGACTCTTTCATCATTCCGCTCTGCAAGATAGAAATGAGAAACAACTATTAGATTTAAGGTTTTCTTATTCTCAGTTATTTATGCATTCACAATGATCTCTAATCAGAATGAATATTTAGCCTTGAATATTAGGTCTTTATTGCTGTAATATACACCAGGCTACACTACTATGGCCATTCAGAATGAAGGTTCACAACCCCCCCAGACTTATACTTCCATATGCCACACTCTCCCTCTCTTTTGTTGCTCTGTTAGAACCTTTAGGAAATACCTGGTCCTTTCAGGTATGGAGGAGCATATGACCTCCTCCCCTTGCTCCCAGGTGGCAAATGCCCAAACCCTGTCACATGAGGAAGGGGAGGAAGTCATTATCTTTGTTTAAGTTCCAATAGCCTTAAAGTGGTTGTAAACCTCAGATATAAAATATGAACAAAGCATATCCTCCCATATGGAAGAAAAATATATTTGTAATATATTTTAAAAGTATTCTTCCCTGGCCTCCTTTTCACCTTGTTCCATCTTTCTATACGACGGGATGCTCGGTATGCTTTGCTTCATTGTCCTCTACTGGGCCTCTTGGCTCACCAGCAGAAGTTGGCTTCCTATTTGTTTTTGTCGGCCTCTAGAACAATTGCTCAGGCCTGGAAGAGCCTGTTTGTCCCTCTTCAGGGGGTGCGGGACCGTATGACTGCTATGATGCTCAATGAACAGATGTCGAGTATCTGCAACGACTTCCAATGTAAATTCTTGAAAATATGGGAGCCGTGGTTGCAATATACCTTTCCCACGCTTCCCCCGGCTAGCCTGGGGATGTGATGTTGTTCGGCTTTGGCATTCTTGGATCCCTGCTCTTGGTTTGGCTATCCTTTTTTCTTTTGTACTTCTTCTTTTCCCCCCTTTTTTTCTCTGTTTGCTTTGATGTGCCAGTGGATAGCTGCCGTTAGTCTGAGTTATTATCAGTGTTATATTTATGTTTTGTTATTTAAGTGCCATTGATGGCCCCTGCGTGGGCGTATCTTTTGCCCTGTTGGTGTTAGAGCACTGATTTCTCTAATTTCTAGTTCCTCTATGTGCAATTGATAGCCCCTGCGTGGGCGTGATTTGTTGTTCATGTGTTAATTGTTATAAATTAATAAAAACCATTGAAATACAAAAGTATTCTTCCCAAATATATTGACATATATTTGAAATACTACAATTTTGGCCATATTCAATTTACTTCAAAATATATTTCTATATGTATATGTATATATATATATATATATATATATATATATATATATATATATACATACATGCTGAAATGCATTTTTATTACAAAATATATGAAAAATATTTTTAAAAATACATTTCAAATATACTGTATGTCTTTAAAAATACAAATCTACATTTTTGGAATGAATTTACAAATATATGTGAAAATATATGTTAAAATAACTTTTTTATATGTTAAAAAAATCTGAAGAATATATTCTTCATTAGGTATATGTATGGATTGACAACCACTTTAAGCATACACTAATAGAATTTTGTTCATATAGTTTGGTTTTAGGAATGTTCGTTTGATTTTCTGATGGTTAGTGGGCTCAAATCAATGTTCATTTTTAGCCACAATGATGAAAAAATTCAAAAAAGGGCAGGATGGAACATTTTTATTGAAACTAACACATTTCTTGTAGATTAATTTGTATTGATTTTTACAACGTATACAAAAAAAAGCGGAAAGTGGTGCACATTAAAATGTTCCAATAATTGCATAATAGCTGCATAAGGATAAGTAAAGTGAAACCTGTACATGCAAGGAGTGCATGCTGGAACGAGGTGGGTATGTCATCAGGTAGTAGAAAGTCATCAGGGCTATTGATGGAGTGGTGTGTTTTAGTATTAAAATATCATAATAATGAATAATGAATGGTTACATTCTGAGTGAATATGGTTTTAATTCAGGAAAGTCCATTCCCTATAAAGCAATTGTTAAAGTATATGTAAACCCTCATCTTGTAAAACAATCCCTAACATTTGGAATAGAAATGAAAGGCAAAACAGTTGTTTCTATCTATCTATCTATCTATCTATCTATCTATCTATCTATCTATCTATCTATCTATCTGTCTATCTATCTATCTATCTATCTATCTATCTATCTATCTATATACACACACTCATGACCTTTTTATTAGGTACACTTGTTCAATTGCTTGGGAACACAAATTGCTAAACAGCAAATCACAGCATCACAATGTGGAAGAAAGTGATTTTGAACATGGCATGGTTGTTGGTGCCAGACAGGCTGGTCTAGGTATTTCAAAAACTGCTGATCTACTGGGATTTTCATGCACAACCAAAGAGAAAACATCCAGTGAGCAGCAGTTGTGTGGATGAAAATGCCTTGTTCATGTCAGAGGTCAGAGGAGAATGGGCAGACTGGTTCGAGATGATAGAATGGCAACAGTAACTCAAATAACCACTCCGTACCAAGGTATGCAGAATACCATCTCTGAACGCACAACATATTGGACCTTGAAGCAGATGGTCTACAGCAACATAAGACCACACCGGGTGCAACTCCTTTTAGCTAAGAACAGGAAATGGAAGCTACAATTCGCACAGGCTCATCAAAATTGGACAACAGAAGATTGAAAAAAACGTTGCCTGGTCTGATGATGAGTCTGGTCATCAGCTGTGACATTCAGATGGTAGGGTCAGAATCTGGTGTAAACAACATGAAAGCATGGATCCATCCTGTCTTGTTTTTTTTTAATTATATCTTTAATAGTTTTTTTTTTTTTCCAATATTACAAAAATCCCCATGAAACCAACAGCATACAATATAAAAATCATATTTAATCACAATCCCCATCCCAGTATTTACCCTCCCTCTACCCTTTGTCCTCTTATTCCTTCCAATCTCTTCTTGCTCTACTTTTGTTATTCTGTCTCACTATCACCCCCCCCCCCCCTTTCCTCTCTCTTTACTTTCTTTTCCAAATTATTATTTATTTTCTTTTCCCTTCATCCTCCAACCACTTCTAGGAATCTTTTTGATTTTTTGAAATTGCGCAATTCCTCCCTGATCTTCTTAAATTTTTCCATTTTATCCTCATCTATGTGATATAGTTCTTCCACTCTACATATATACTCCACCTTATCTATCCAGTCTTTGATTTTTGGGGGCTTCTAACGCTGGCCAATACTTAGGGAAAAGACTTTTAGCTGCATTTAAAAGATAAAACAGGATCGTATTTTTGTATTGCTTCACCGAAAGCTCTGTTTTATAAAAAAAACAATCCCACGGGACTGTCAGTATACTGATCTTTTGAATCTCTCGTATATATTGCGTTATTTCCCTCCAAAAAGCCTGTATTTTGGGACAGTCCCACAGATTTGTGCCATCGTACCCTTGCTCCCACATCCCCTCCAACATTTGGGTGAAACTTCCAATGCATCACATTGGGAGTAATATACCATCTTATTAAACACTTATAATTCATTTCCACTATACTCATATTTACCGCCCCAATGTGTTAAACTAATCATTTTATTTTTCTGTTGCTCATTCAATTTTCTTTCAAGCTCCAATTCTCACTTCTCCAAACATTTTTGGGACGTTGGTCCATCTATTTTAATAAGTATTTTATATATCCTTGAGGTGATATGTTTCTGTATTCTTTTTGTACTTAACAGTTGCTCTAGAGAATACATTTCATCCTAATTCCTTAGTGGTTGTGGGAGCTTTGAGACAAAATGTCTTATTTGGCAGTACCGCCACTCATCTAGTGTAGAAAATATTTCCTTCTTATTTTTCAACTCATGTAAAGAACATAAACCACCTCTGTCCACTATATCCTTTAAACATGCATTTTTATCTGTGATCCATTTCCCTGAGATGTTGTCATTCCAGGGCAGGAAAAACTTAGTTCCAACCAATGGAATTGACAATTAATTAAACTTCCAATCCTTCTGCTTATGTATTCCATCCCACATCCAAAATACCATCTGTGTCAAAGTACTTGTGCTCTCATCCCATGTGCAAAAATCCTTTGGAGTCCAAATAAACTTTTCTAATGGTGCCTTGCAAAGTGAACTTCTCCAATCCATGATAATAACACCAAATTATAATATCTCCTACATTCTGGCATATTTAACCATTTCAATACCGTGCAATTTTACACCTTCCTGCCCAGGCCATTTTTCACGTTTCAGCGCTCTCACACTTTGAATGACAATTGCGCGGTCATACAACATTGTACCCAAACTAAAATTTTATCATTTTCTTCACACAACTAGAGCTTTCTTTTGGTGGTATTTAATCACCGCTGGGGTTTTTATTTTTTGCTAAATTAAGAAAAAAAAGACAGAAAATTTTGAAAAAAAAACAAGTTTTTCTTTGTTTCTGTTATAAAAGTTTACAAATAAATAATTGTTCTTCATAAATTTAGGCCAAGATGTATTCTGCTACATGTCTTTGGTGAAAATAAACCAAATTAGGATGTATTATTTAGTTTGTAGGAAAGTTATAGAGTTCACAAACTATGGTATATATCTGAATATTGATCAATCCTGAAGTACTGACAGCCAATCTAATTTCTTGAGGTCCAAGAATGTCAGAATAGTACAGATATCCCCCAAATGACCCCTTTTTGCAGAGTAGACAGTCCGACGTACTTCATAAGAGGAATGGCGAGTTTTTTGAAGTTGTATTTTTTTTGTCATAATTTTTCGGAAAATGAAAAAATTAAAACAATTATTTTCACTATTTTTTTTTTACATACTGTCACCAGTGCAGTACAGCATCATCATATAACTGGCATGGCGGTGAACAGGGACACTGACTGGTGACAGTATGAAAAAAAAAATATATATTTTCTTTTTTTTTTTTATGATTTTTAATTTTTTATTACATTTTTTTTATTTTTTTTTAAGATTTTTTTCTTAGATTTTTACTATGACCAAAGTAGTACAATGTTACCACTAGCATACAATGGATGGCATGAATGAAGCCATCCATTGTATACAACTG